AGTATTGTCTTACAATTCGTGTGTTTTACTTAACGATAATTAAAATACAAATCTACACAACCCTCTTAAAGTAGTCCTGGCTTGTGTGTTCTAGTATATTCTCGTGTGTGTTTGTGTATTATGACTTGATAGTCTCAGAAGCTGATCATTAATCCTCATTGTGTTATGTCATGAAGCGCTAAGCCTGTGTGGGTCATTCATCGTAATGAATATTTGAGGGTCAATCTTTCGACCTCCAACAACGGCACGATCTCTGACCGGCCAGACTGTTAGTGACCTTTCATAATAATAGTCACTCTTGTATTAAAGTGCTGTTTATGAATATTAATATTTGAAGCCACGGCATAATTTTGCCTTTAATTAATTCATAGGCATACAACATCACACGGGGCTGGGGATCGTGTTTGGTGTGGTGGTTGGTTGGTGTGGTAGTTGGTTGGTGTGGTAGTTGGTTGGTGTGGTGGTTGGTTGGTGTGGTGATTGGTTAGTGTGGTGGTTGGTTGGTGTGGTGGTTGCTTGGCGTGGTGGTTGGTTAGTGTGATGGTTGGTGTGGTGGTTGGTTAGTGTGGTGGTTGGTTGGTGTGGTGGTTGGTGTTGTGGGTGGTTAGTGTGGTGGCTGGTTGGTGTGGTGGTTAGTTAGTGTGGTGGTTGGTTTGTGAGGGTTGGTTGGTGTGGTGGTTGGTTAATGTGGTGGTTGGTTAATGTGGTGGTTGGTTGGTGTGGTGGTTGGTTGGTGTGGTGGTTGGTTGGTGTGGTGGTTGGTTAGTGTGGTGGTAGGTTGGTGTGGTGGTTGGTTGTTGTGGTGGTTGGTGGGTGTGGTGGTTGGTTGTTGTGGTGGTTGGTGAGTGTGGTAGTTGGTTGTTGTGGTGGTTGGTGGGTGTGGTGGTTGGTTGGTGTGGTAGTTGGTTGGGGTCGTTGTTGATAGGGATAGATGGATAGTGGCAAGTTGAAAGAGAGAGAAAGACGGGGATGGGGGGAGGGAAATTTTCTGTTAAATTTCAGTAGTATTCTGTAATTCTGAATTAACACAATTTAATTTGGTTTTATCAGAAAAATACTGTTAGGTTGATAGCTAGGTGAGGGAACGATTATTATTATTATTATTATTATTATTATTATTATTATTATTATTATTATTATAATCAAGGGGAAGCGCTAAACCGTAAGATTATACAGCGCCTGTGGGGGGATGGAAGGTATTCAGGGTTAATTCAGGGAACTGGAGCACAGAGGGAACGAACAGTGATCACCCGTTAGTATACCAGGTGAGGGAAGAAGCACTGCTTACTAATCACTGTACTAGGTGAGGGATCAAGCAGTGATTTCTGGTAACTACCAGGAAAATGTACAATCAGCGATCACCATCCACTGTGTCATTCCTGAGTCATACGCGTCAAATTTAAATAATTCATCAATTATATGCAAATTGCAGCCAATAAAGAATGAATGACATGCATGTGAGAAAAATGTAGATGATCACGTCGAATCAATGTCTAACAAAATCACAATGAAAAAAAAAAACATGTTAACATTGTTCATACACAGGATAACAGATCTATATATCAAAATCATAGATATCAAGATCACAAGTAAACCAGGAAGGATCACAGTTTGTACAGTATACGAAAAATATATTTGTTTAAGCGTATTTAAAGCTAAAAATATCTTACGGTGTATATACACCGAGAACTATATTTCTCATTGTAGGAGTAAGACGTATAACAGTAATAATAATAATAATAATAATAATAATAATAATAATAATAATAATAATAAAAGAACAATAATAACATAGCAACAGTCAAAATAATATTAAATAAACTTTACTCAGGAAAATCTTCAAATATTTATTAAAACGGAGGTATAAATGAGTATAATAGTTGTGAGGATACCCAGATGTTGTAGGAATACAACGGTTGTGAGGATGAACAGAAGTTATAAAACTACAACAGTGGTTGTGAGGATACATGAATGCTTCAGAAAAGCAGTAATAGTTGAGGATACATAGCTGTTTTAGGCATATAACAATCGTTGCGAGGATACAAAGACGCTGTATGAATACAACAATGATACAAACTGCAGATTAAACATTGGATATCACAATAAAGTCAGTGTAAGATATTTCTACATTGTTACTATGGAACAACAGCGGCTGGGAGCTGGGAGGTAATGAAGATTGATCCATGGAAGAGAAAGGTAGTTTCAATTCCTTGTATCGAGAGCCCTTCACCATCCACATACCCTCTCGAAGGGATTTATTTCCAGAGATTAATTTATCTTTTGGAGGAAGACTTCTCATTCTTTATTGCAGAAGAACATGGAGGCTTTAGGAAGGGTAGAGGATATGTAGAGGAAGTGTTCACACTGAAGCACATAAGTGAACAAAACTTGGATGAAGGTAAGCAACTTTTAATTGCATTTATAAATATAAAAAAGGTATATGATAGGGTGGATAAGGAACACTGTGGCAGATGTTGCAAAGGTATGAATAGGTGGTAGGTTACTTAAAGCAGTGTGAAGATTTTATGTGGATAGATAGCGAGGCTCAGGTTATTGTAAGTAGGCCTACTTATGGTATGTAAGGCTTAGACATCTGTGTCTAAGTAGGCCTAGAGAGGGATGTGTGATGTCACCTTGGTTGTTTAACATATTTATGGATGGGATTGTAAAAGTGACCGCTGGGGTGTTGTTGGGAAGATGTGTGGGATTGAAAGATGATGAATCTGGTATGGAGTGGGAGCGGTCACAGTTACTTTTTGCCGACTACTTTCATTTTTTTTTTTGGGGGGGGGGGATATTCTGAAGAGAAGTTGCAAAGGTAGGTGAACGAATTTGGGAGGATATGTAAAAGAAGAAAATTGAAAGTAAATATAGGAAAGAGCAAGGTGATGAGTGTCAAAAAATATAAATTGGATAAAAGATTTGGGGGAGGGGATTATGGAGGAGGTGAATGTGTTTGGATATTTGGGAGTGGCTTTGTCTGCGGATGGTTCTGTGAGAAATGATATGAACCATAGAACTGACGCAGGAAAAAAAAAGTGGGTGGTGCATTGAGGCATCTGTGGAGACGAAGAACCTTATCCATGGAAGCACTGGAGCATAATGGTACCAACACTTGTATAGGTGTGAAGAAAGGGTTTTGAATGCTACAGCGAGGAGGATGGAGGTAGTAGAGGTATGTTTGATGGCAGTGAGTAGTGTGAATTTTATATAAAGAATTCTGAGTTTGGAGATTAGGTATGGAGTTACCAATTTTATTACTCAGGGCTGAGGAGGGGTTGTTTAGGTAGTTTGGACATTTACTGAGGTTGGATAGAAATAGAATGGCTAGGAGGGCGCATAAATCTGAGACGGAAGGAATCAGGGGTAGAGGTCGTCCTAGGAGAGGCTGGAGTCAGGGAGGGGATAAAGGTTTTGAGTGCTAGGGACTTGGGCATCCAATACGCTTATTTGAGCGTGTTATCTAGACAGGAATGACGTGCTGTTGGAGCTAGAGCAAGATAATATTCATGAAGGGATTCCCATCTTGAAGATGGGAACTACATTGCCAGCACTTTGAAGGAGGGGTGGAGATGTTGCAGTTTTGAGGGCCATCTGAAGTGTAATGTCAGCACACTTCTGACAAGACTGTCAGTGACAGTGAAAGTGTTTTGTTCTTTGTCTTATCACTCTACTTCAGTGAGAGACGGCCAGTTTTATATATATATATATATATATATATATATATATATATATATATATATATATATCACGGACGAGTGATATTGATCAATATCAACACTGCGCTAGCCAAGGATTCGAACCCATGTTGTACTGGCCTGCCTCATGGTAAGCGAGAACCACATGACGCTTTAAACCACAGGACCACTCAACCCTACAAGAATGGCGCAGCCAGCAGAGCTAGCTGTTGGGCCGCCATCCGACGGCATACGGAGGTGTGGGAGCTTCTAAGCTAATTTCATTCTCATCTGTTTGGTGTACTAGAATCACTCGCATCATTTATATATTATTGTAACCACGGAAGAGTGGCAAATACTGCTCGTGAGGCTAGTACACCAATCAGGGATGAGAATGAAAGTAGCTTAGAAGCTCCCACACCTCCGTATGCCCTCGGATGGCAGCCCAACAGCTAGCATTGCTGGCTGCGCCATTCTTGTAGGTTTGGGTGGTCCTGTGGTTTAAAGCGTCATGTGGTTCTCGCTTACCATGAGGCAGGCCAGTACAACATGGGTCCGAATCCTTGGCTAGCGCAGTGTGTTTTATATATATATATATTATAATTTATTATATATATATATATAATATATATATATATATATATATATATATATATATATATATGTCGTGCCGAATAGATAAAATTGGTCAATTAGCAAGAACTTTTTTAAAATTAAGTTCTTTCTAAAATGTTCTCTTATACGTCGTTTAAAGATATATTTTTTCATCTATATTAACGTAAAAATTAATAAATTTGTACCAAAAGAACCTTAGAAAACTTACCTAACCTGATTATAAAGAACGCAATTTAATTTAGCCTAATCCAGCTAAGTATATTTTAGATACGTTTTCGGTAATTTAATAATAAACAAACAATATAAAATATATTTTTTTCGTTAGGCTGAGAATGATTTTGCGAAATTATTGCGTACACAAATTTTCGCTTGCTTTATTCGGCAAGAAATGTGTTGCTATTAAAGCAAAAATCCCAAGTTTTACCTATTCGGCACGATATATATATAATATTTATATATTATATATATATATATTATATATGTATATATATATATATATATATTATATATATATAATATATATATATATATATATAAATGGTGATGATTTTAGTGGATGGTGATGGCGGGCGGTAGTAATGAGAATTGAGGTTGAATAACATGAGAACAATAATCAGTTTTAAAACCACAAATGGGCTTTATTACAACGGGAAAAGTTTCTTAGTATTAAGTGGATTAAGATGGAGCTGTAGGGAGTCGAGAGGTGGCATGAAAAGAAGTGGCGAGGGGAATACAAGTAAAGAATGGTGCGGTCAGGATGGCAGGTGATGGAACACTTACCTAACAATGATGTGGTCAGGATGGCAGGTAATGGAACACCTACCTAACAATGATGTGGTCAGGATGGCAGGTAATGGAACACCTATCTAACGATGGTGTGGTTAGGATGGCAAGTGATAAAACCCTTGCCTAACGATGGAACACGTACCTGACGTTGTCGTGACGCTGGATATAGATCTTGTGGAACATTGTGTCCTTGGGTGTGCCAGCGATGTCAGACTTCATTTCCATGGCCACGTGACTGGGCAATACAGACAGCAACAACCGCTCCTGTGGTCACACGAACACACATGTTAATTGCCATCTCAACTGTAAAGTAAATCACGCTGTATAGCATTGTTATCTTCGTAATATGTCACCAATGTATGCATGCCTGTGCTAATCTGCGCTTAATGCAGAAAACAAAAATTTACTAAAGCATCTTGGCCAATATTCAGGTGTTAAGAAATTCAACCCTGCTGATTCATATCACTTAGGTACAACTGATGGGCCGCGGGTCGCCTGAGGCCACTGAGCAACCATTTGGCTTCACCACTTGGAAACTATTTCAGATTTTCAACACAAGCCTAAGCTGTTTCATTGATAAATTCTTCAAAGTATGCTTGAAAAGCAGAGTGTGAATCGAAAAGCAGTTAAATGCAAAAAAGATTGGAATTCTTTGTAACGACATTAATGAGAATTTTGAAGTCATCAACAAAGAACGGAAAAATTTACACCTAGTCATCAGAGTTCATTGTATCACCTGATGGAACTAAACTAGGGGCTCAGTTAGAATTAATTACTCTTCAGAACTACACACAAAACAAATGCAAACAGATGTAAGATAAACCAATAGAGAATGAGAGAAACTAGTTCTAGGCGTTTCTCACTGTTGTCAGTTCTTAGTCATGACCTATGTTGCAGTACTAAAGTGGAAAATTCTCAGAGGCAGGTGGACAGTGTAGTTGACAGCACGTGCTGACTAAGAGGCTCTTAGAGTCGGCATAAGTGGCCGACTGCACTGTCTAGCAGCCTCAGAGAATTTGCTACTCCGTCTATCTACTGCAACACTGTATAGATCCTGACTAAGCACTGGCAATAGTGCGAAAGGTCCTGAAATAGTTTTTCCATTTCCTAATGGCATATATATGTCGTGCCGAATAGATGAAACTTGCAATTTTGACTTAAATAGCAACGATCTTCTTGCCGAATAAGGCAATAGAAAAAAATTGTGTATGCAATAATTTCGCAAAAATCATTCTGAATATAACGAAAAAATATATTTCATTGTTTGTTTATTATTAAATTATTGTAAACTAAAATATATGTGCCAACACACATATGTTCAGAGGAATATCAAATGTAATTTCAATATACGTCAATGAAAAATTGGATTCCATTATCGATTTTAACTGCCTGAAATATTGGGATCTGCATAAATGTTGTTGACCCCGCTCATGACTGAGTCTTCAGAGGCGTTTCCTGAAGTGATAAGGTTATTCATCCCTGATTTAGATCATCCTCATTTAGGTTATTCTGTTCAGTGGCTTCTCATCTTTCCGGAAGAGGCGCTTCTAGTCTCTCCATTGCAAGATGTTTAGTCTTCACACCAATAATAAGACTCCGTTCAGGTGTCTTCTCGGATAGCACATTATTTATACTGAATTCTATAAATTATCGTATATTGTATTTTAAAGAATTTAAAATAAATTCCAGAGTATTTATAAACATGTGGTTGGCTTATGGTACATTCTGGCGCCTAAGCAAGGATTTAAAAGAATATATTCAATTATTATAAGAATATGGTCAAGATTATCTTGAATTTTCTTGACATTCATTTTCGAAGAATTACAAGCCTAATCTGATTTTTAGGGGGATTTTTCACTGGTCAAACAGAATTATAGAGAATTTACATGCCCGCATGCTCTCGCGAATTCCTTGCATTGTTCAAATCTCTAGTAAGGCTGATGCATGCAGGGGATGAGATGAAAAGCTGTAAGCCTTCTCCCTGAAAGCTGGCTGCCTTGGATCAAACGTGTAGCTATTGCTACACGCCAAGGTATTGGTCCAGTGTGGGTAGATTGGTAAAGCACTGCATACCTTGTCCTTAGGTTCGTAGGTTCGAGTCTCCTTCAGCCAGAGATCAGTGTTTGTGTATATTTCGCATGCTCTCGCGAATTCCTTGCAGTGTTCAAATCTCTAGTAAGGCTGATGCATGCAGGGGATGAGATGAAAAGCTGTAAGCCTTCTCCCTGAAAGCTGGCTGCCTTGGATCAAACGTGTAGCTCATGCTACACGCCAAGGTATTGGTCCAGTGTAGGTAGATTGGTAAAGCACTGCGTACCTTGTCCTAAGGTTCGTAGGTTCGAGTCTCCTTCAGCCAGAGATCAGTGTTTGTGTATATTTCGCATGCTCTCGCGAATTCCTTGCATTGTTCAAATCTCTAGTAAGGCTGATGACTCAAGAAATCGTAATGACACGATTGCAAATAAACCATACCCCCGGCCGGGATTGAACCCGCGGTCATAGTCTCAAAACTCCAGCCCGTCGCGGGGATGAGATGAAAAGCTGTAAGCCTTCTCCCTGAAAGCTGGCTGCCTTGGATCAAACGTGTAGCTCATGCTACACGCCAAGGTATTGGTCCAGTGTGGGTAGATTGGTAAAGCACTGCGTACCTTGTCCTAAGGTTCGTAGGTTCGAGTCTCCTTCAGCCAGAGATCAGTGTTTGTGTATATTTCGCATGCTCTCGCGAATTCCTTGCATATATATATATTATATATATATATATATATATTATATATATATATATATATATATATATATATATAATATATATATATATATATATATCAATGCACCACGCAGAAACAAACGGGTATATGCAGAGAAAAATCGCAGTCAGCAGGACTCAGTACTGCTACTGAGATGAACAAGATTCCCAGGCAGCGCTCTTATCCATTCGGCCACAAATGGTACGTAAGCTGGGCAGCCTGGTTCACAAGCCATGTTTCTTTCCCAGCCCGGGCACGTCAGTGAGCCTCTAGCATGGATTCAAGCTGTTTCAATGTCTTCCTGTATGTTCTGACCTCACAAGCGATTTTTATATCAATGCACCACACAGAAACAAGTGGTCCGTCTCAGTAGTAGTATCGAGTTCTGCTGACTGCGATCTTTCTCTGTATATATGTGTATATATATATATATATATATATATATATATATATATATATATATATAATATATATATATATATATATATATATATATATGTGTGTGTGTGTGTGTGTGTGTGTGTGTATATTAGTACACGTGTCTGCGTCACTTAACACATCAGTACACGCAGAGAGACAGGTCAATCATGTCACATGCATCACGTCTGTCGTCCTTCAAAGGGGGGGGGGAGTACCTTGATGTTTGTAAAGGTATCTTCAAAGGAACTGGAGCTACCTTACACTTTCTGTGATCATGCCTGTTTACCTCCCATTTTAGAGGGGTTGTATGGCCCCTGAGGATGTAACGCTTTCCCATGAATATAACACAGTAATAATAACAATAATAATAATAATAATAATAATAACATTAATAATAACCATCATTCTGGAGTAGTGCTTTATTTTGAGAATCTACAGAGACTAGCTGCTCAATCTCCCTCAAAGGAGAATAAACATAATGTTGGGTAAACACACGCACATCAAAGTTCTTCTCTAGAGTCCGGCTCTGTGAAAGCGTTTGTTGTTAGTACTTAATGAGCGGAGGTACCAGCACATTTAATGAGCCACGGTACCAGTACGATTTAATGAGACGAGCTATGCCACATTAATTAATGAGCCAAGATGCTAAAAAGAAGTTGTGAATAAATAAAAAATAAAAAATTTTAAAACTAAAATTAAATTTATTAAATAGGTGAACATAGAAAGGATTGTTTAAATACTTTGAATAATGCATTACTGTGCTGTATATATACATCGTGATGTGTCGAGAGAAAACTTAAAAGTTGTAAATAAAACACAAAAGAGATTGGCCGTATATTTCGACCTCTAACTGATGTTCAGCAGAATGATAGTTCTCATTTTGCAAAATATCTCAGTTAGAGGTCGAATTATCTCATTTACTTTGTCTAAAATACTGTCTTAGTACATATTTTCTTTCTTATAATCTAGTGACGTCGTTCTTGTTTATTTTTCATTTCCTAGGTCATATTGGCCAGCATGTATGTTTTCCAGTAGATGACGATCCCTCTTTCCAAAAGATTTAGACTGTTTATGGTGAAATTTTTTCCCTCTCTTCTGCTAAACACTAAATCTAATACTGACAGTGTTTTTCCTCTTACTCGTGTTGCTTCATTACATGCTGGCGATTAAAAAAAAAAGAAAGCCAATACTTTTAGGAAGTCTGTTGACCATTTATTTATAGCTGAGTTCAATAAGAGTTTGTGTCCACGGTCCTCCAACTGATAGATTTGTGGTGTTAATAACCTCGTAATTGAGGCACCTAAAACAAAAACTAAGTAGCAGCAGTTCAGTCTCATAGGCTGCCTAATTTATTTATTTCTAATTTAAATCTTTTACAGTAACATTTTCCTTTCATGGTCACTCTTCATCATCAATAATTCTCTTAATGTATTATGTAATCCCTAGTTTATCCTATCAAACTCTCCTCTCTCAAGTACTGTTAACGGTGGGTTGTATATGTTAATATTAGGAGTTTCTCATCCTTACTTACATGAAATTTTCGTGAAAAAAATTAGTATTGGATATCAATTGCCTTATAATATAGCGTGCGTGTGTGTGTGTGTGTGTGTGTGTGTGTCTACTCACCTAATTGTGGTTGCAGACGCCAATTTATAGCTCCTGGCCCCGCCTCTTCACTGGTCGTCACTAGGTCCACACTCTTCCTGCTCCATGAGCTTTATGATACCTCTTCTTAAAGCTATGTATGGTGCCTGCCTCCACTACCTCACTTTCCAGACTATTCCACTTCCTGACAACTTTATGACTGAAGATGTACTTCCTAACATCCCCGTGACTCATCAGAGTCTTCAACTTCCAATTGTGACCCCTTGTTTCCGTGTCCCATCTGTGGAACATCGTGTCTCTGTCCACCTTGTCGATTCCTCTCAATACTTTATATGTCATTATAATGTTTCCCATGTCCCTCCTGTCCTCCAGTGTCGTCAGGTCGAGTTCCCTCAACCTCTCTTCGTAGGACATATCCCTTAGTTCCGGAACCATTCTCGTTGCGTGTGTGCGCGCGCGCGTCCCACTTACTCATAAATCTATATAATTGCTGAG